GAATTGAAACACTCCCTGCATAAGCGCAAGGAAGGATTGGAAGGTGTGAGGTTAGAACCTACGTGAGAGACTTCAATGTGGAAATCATGAGGCTATAGTGAGGTTTTGTGAGTTGTATTGCGAGATTGCAAGGCTCAAGTGAGGCTCTACACAGTGGGGCAAGATCGAACGATGATTTGTGCGAAGTTGAGCGATGCACTAACATGATCAACAAGACTTTGAGTTAGATCAAATGAGACAAAATCATGAGCGGAACTTGCGTCAGGAGATCAAACACTGAATCACCTAGATGAGTTCAATGAAGCTTTGAGTAAATACCAAAACTCACTTTGATATAACTTTAAAATAAGAGACAAATAAAAGAAGAAAAAAAGTTGAATACTATTTCTTACTCCAAATGATAGATGAGATACATATTTATTGATGCAATACAATCTGTTATTAATATAAAATAAAGTAACAAATTAGTACATAATTAACGGGAATAAAAAAAAAAAGCTAATAACTTGATGAGATGGAAATCATCATGTTGTTGATTTAATCAGAGCGCCCAAATTGATTGATAAGGAACCAACATACGTCTCATTGATTCCAAAATTTCCACATCTTCCCCTTTCATTGTCACCTCAATGACCTGTGGGATCACTACAACTTACTCATCAATCTATGAACTATTATAACTATTATCCTACCTACTCATCAATCAATAGATCATTATAATTATTATATACTTATTATTATTTGATGGGTGGCACTGCATCGGTTGCATGAAAAGAAAACTCAAGCCATCCATGATGCAGTTGCCTTACATCATATTCATCTTTCTCTCCCTCCCTCCCTTCCGCAAAATGGGGGTTGTATAATGGGCAACGATGATAATGATAGCTTTCAAGAGGCCTTTAAAACTAATAATACTCAATATTCACATTGTCACAAAATCCTAAACTTAAATAGCAGTAAGTAAAAAATTTCTTTGTTGAGAAACCATCAATTGAGAAGAGGAAATTAGCTACATATGTTGTTAGTGGATAGTATCCATATGCATGAAATTATTTTTTAGTATGGAAATGCTTGAAAAAAAAAGGATTTTGCAATAAACTCATCAGAACTCATATTTAGTTTTCTGATTATATCATTAAGTTGACAATCAGAGAAGAATTTCTTTCGAATAAATTTCCATTAATTACATGTTACAAGTCCTAAACATTGTTAACTACAACATGTAACAACTTATCCGATAAATTCTAGTAAAAATTCTTCTCCATGTTCTAAATATTAGTTTAGAAGAAATGAAGAGCGAGGAAGATGAGGAAGTTCGTTCCATCTGGGCGTGCGAACGAGAGGAAAAGAGCGAAAATTTCACTGTGGAATCTATTAGTTTATGTTGGTTTTATCCATTAGTCTTTTGTGCATCAATCTTAAGAAGAAAATAGAGAAGATGAAGAAGAACAATATAGAGAAAAGGAAGGAAAAAAAGTTGAGAAGAAGAAGGGAAGAAAGGGAAAAATAGAGAATAAGCAGGGCAAAATGATAAAGAACAAAATAAAGAAGAAGAAGAAGAAGATGAAATGGAGAGGAAGATGAGGAAGGAAAGGAGGAGGAAGAAGAAGAATAAAGGAAGATGAGGAAGGAGCAAGAGGAAGAAATGGGGTAGAAGTTACATGTGCGTTACCCACAACAGCTTTCAAAAAAAGTTAATTTTCTCATAATCTTTATAGCCATATTTACAAAAGAAGCTAAAGCCATCCCAAATAAACTTATTAAAAAAAACTTCAAATAAGGCTAAACTTTGTTCAATTCTTATTGGAACTATTTTTAAACTTCGCTCAAACCGTGTTTGACACTAAGTTTAAATCCAATTTGATGGGTTTATAAAGATGGTTCCAATAAAGTTCAAAGGTCAAAAAAAAAAAAATTGAGTCTATAAGAGGCTCTTAGATATTAAGACTCATTGTAGTGAGTCTATAAGAGGCATTAGGCCATAGCAATAAATTTATAATTAATATTAATTAACTAAAAAGATATTAAGTTAACTAAATTAATATTATTTATTATGTTGATTAAATAAAATTTATCATTGGTAATTAATTTAATATATTACTAATTGATGATTAATTAACATATTATTTTGTGTTTAGTATATCTTATATTATTAGTTCAATCAAATATATTAGATGTATATATCAATAAAAAAAACCAGCTCTAACAATAAAATTAATTAATGAAAAAGATAGCAAGTTAGCAACTTAACTAAATCAATATTATTATTTATTTCTAAGTATCTTAATAAATTATTAATTAATGATTAATTGATATGCTAAGTATATAAATTATGATATTGTTGCGTCCTAGAGTATTCGCGGCGGAAGGGAAATATATAGTTTAACGTCTTATCGTTGTACGAAGATCCAGCTCACAAACAGATAAGAGAGAGAATGTAACATTCATAAGAGACACCAGAGTTTTTATGTGGAAACCCCTGAAAAGAGGGAAAAACCACAGGGCCTGGCCCAGTTTGAATAAATTCACTAGTATTTGCAGTCGATTACAAATGAGGTCCTTCCTTGGGAGAAGGCCTTAGCTTAATGTCACAAATGTACATCATATAGAGCACATTACATTGTGGGAGTTACAATAATCAACATAGATATGTTTGTTTGGTTTGAAGGGCCATAGTCGGCACGAGACAAGGGCCAGAAAGACCGTAGTCGGCAGGAAACCGGAGTCTGAAAGACTGTTGTCTGTTGATGGAGGTCAGAATGACCATAGTAGGCGACGGAGGTCGGAAGGACCATTGTCGGCAAGAGACCGGGGTCTGAAAGAACGTTGTTTGGTGATGGAGGTTTGAACGACCATAGTAGGTGACAGAGGTCAGAAGGATAATAGTCAGCATGAGACAGGCGTCTGTAAGACCGTAGTTGAAGGGCAGTATTCTGAGAGAATTCTGGGCATCAAGTGGTGGCCTGGTGGAGCTCAGGGCCTCTAGTAGTGGTTTGGCAGAAGTCAGGACCTCAGTTGGTGTTCTGATGGAGCATAGGGCCTCAAGTGATGGTCTGGCAGAAGTTCGGGCCTCAGGTGGTGGTCCGACAGAAGTCTGGGCCTCGGGTGATGTCCTGATGGAGCATAGGGCCTCAAATGGTGGTTCGGCGGAAGTTCGAGCCTTAGGTGGTGGCCTGGTGAAGCACATGGCCTCAAGTGGTGGTCTGGTGGAGCTCATGGCCTTAGGTGATGGTCCGGCAGAGCAACAGCGTCAGGCGGTGGTTCGGCAGAGGTGAGGGCCTCAAGTGGTGGCTTGGTGGAGCAACGGCATCAGGTTGTGGTCTAGTGGAGGCGAGGGCCTCAAGTGGTGGTCTGACGAAGTAACGATGTCAAGAAGGGGTTCGGAGGAGGCGAGGGCCTCAAGTGGTGGTTCGGCGGAAGTCAGAACCTTAGGTGGTGGTCCGACGGAGTTCAGGCCCTTAGGTTGTGGTCCGGCAGAGCAACGACGACAGGTAGTGATTCGGTAGAGGTGAGGGCCTCAAGTGGTGGTCCAGCGATGGTCCGACGAAACTTCGGAGGTGGTCCGGCTAAACTCCAGCGGTGGTCGAGGAGGAGCTTCTTCCTTCTCTTCTCTCTTCTTCTCCTCTTCCTCTCCTCCTCTCTTCAATAGAAATGAGGGGTCTATTTATAGATTTTTGGAATGGCATGGCTCGTAAATAGGCGAGAGATCAAGGGTAAATGGGGAGTGGTTGGATGGAATTCGGCATTCGGCGATATTGGGCTCGTTGGATTTGTATCGTCGAGCGCTCGATTCGACTATAAGCACGTCATGTTTGAAAACCATTTGATAACCCAAATTGTGGTTCGAACCATCCAGCAGCGCTTCAGGTCCTTGATTTGGACTTATTCGGGCTCAGATTGAGTTAAATTTGGTGTCGTTGGGTTCGTATTTCCAAGATGTTCAGTTCGACTGTAAGTTTGTTGAAATCGGAGTTCGGATGGTCCCAATTTTAATTTCAGAAGTTTCCAACTCGGGTTTGCTTCGAGATTCATGCCCGATCAAGATTATTTTTTGATGATATATCACATATGATTAATCCAACTAAAATTAACATGTACCAAGTTAAGGTTATCGGACTTCGCTGGACGTCTATGCGAAGATGCATTTCTTTCCACTGTTGGACTTCTACCTGACGCTGTCCTTCTGATCTTCGTCGTCAGACTACAGTCCTTCCGACCTCCGTCGTCAGCCGACTACGGTCCTCCTGACTTACGTCGCCCGCCGACTACAGTCTTTCAAACATCCGTCGCCCGTTGAATACGGTCCTTCTAACTTATGTCGCCCGCCGACTACAGTCTTTCCGACCTCTGTCGCCAGCCGACTACGGTCCTCTTGACTTACGTCGCCCGTCGACTACGGTCCTCCTGACCTACGTCGCCCGCCGACTGAATTCCTTCCAACAAAGCGAATACGTCGATAGTAGCTCTTTGTATTTACATCATGTAATATACTCCATAAGATGTATATCAAGCTAAGGCCTTCTCCTAAGGAAGGGCCTCATTTGTAATCGACTGCAAATACTAGTGGATTCATTCAAGCTGGGCCAGGCTCCGTGGTTTTTCCCCCTTTTCAGGGGTTTTCCACGTAAAAACTCTGGTGTCTCTTTTGAATGCTACACCCTCTCACTTATCTGATTCCGTGCCGGATTTTCGTACAATGCTAAGACGATAAGCCTGATATTTCTCTACCGCCGCGAATACTCTTGAACGCAACAATTTTTAACTTAAATTCTTTTGCATTAGTATGCTATTCTCATTTTTTATTAATTAAGCTGAACTCTATAGTTGAATAAAACAAAATTTGTTAATCAAATTAGATTGCTCTGTCGGATCACTCGGGTTGCCAACAGATCAGGTTCAAGTTCACTTTTTGACTCATTTATTAAATGAGTTAATATTTCAGATCGGATCGGAAGGAGACCCATTAATCAATTTTGACACGCCTTAAGCTCTTCTTGATTACAATTACACTCCCTGCCCCTAACAAATTTCCGGCCTCTTCTCCGGAACTGAACGATCGAGCTCAGCAGATCAGCGGGAATGTTTGGGACGGCGATAAGATTCCTAGCGAAGAAGCCAAAGCCGAAGATGAAGCCGATCGAGCTGAAAACGCCGCCGGAGCAGACTCAGACGATCACCCGAACCATCTTCGACGTCGTCAAGGAGCACGGCCCGCTAACCATCGCAGACACCTGGGAACACCTCAAGGTATCTTCACTTTCTGGCTCCTTTCTCCATCTTGTTTCACTTACCTTATTCGTGATATTGGGAGAAATTTCTGCATCAGTGGGAGAAATGATATATATCCTCTCCTCGTCGCAGCCTAGTGAAGCGATAGAAATCTGTATTTGTCGATTGATCTTAATTTATTATGCTTATGGAACTAGTTCGCTGAGCTGATTATGTCATGGGGTTGGTTAATAGTACGATCAAGTCAGTGGGATTATTCCTACGATGCACAGCTGGTGAAATGTCCATCAGCGAAAGATTAGCCACGTGTAGCCAGGTGTAGTGCAATCTATATTACTAGGTGATTTGAATGAGAGCTCGGATATTGAATAATGCAGATTATGTATTCTATGCTTGATAGGAGAGTATTAGCTGATGTGGTTTTACAATAAGCGTTCAGTTTGATTTTTTTTTTTTACGATTGCTCAAATTTTCCTTATTGGTTTTTGTACCATCCTATCTATGAGTTCAATGCTTCTCCTAGCAAGATCTTCATCATGAAATCGTATTTTAGCCATGACTTTTTGTGCCAAAGTGACCACAGTAAGCTATTAACTAGTTTTGCACCGTGAATGTTTAGGACTAGAAATAATGCAATGTAGATTCGAGGTTAAAACGGGAATTAAAACGTGTTTTTTTAATAACTTGTTGCAAAACCTTTTTATTATAGCTTATTATCATGAGATTCATAAAAATATATTACAAAATTTCATCTTTACATAGATACCATGAATATTAACTGATCACATTACAAAACAATGTTTTGAGTCATTTCTCTATTGTGTTCTATGTCAGTACTTTCTAAAAGGTAGGAGCATGCCTTGCAGAAACAATTTGAGTGACTTTCAAGTTACTTTATACAGTTGGAACTTACTTTATACATTTGGAACAAAAGCTTAAGCTATCCATTCAAAATGTAGTTTTTATTCCATTTGGGACCTTACGAAGCGATGAGCCTTGAAATGAAATTTTATGCCCCTGTCTGATTTCTTTTAATTTTTTTTATTTTGTTTCAATTTTCATTTTCTTTAATTTTGGTATTTGAACATTGTCAACTTTGATCGTTGTTATCAGAAGATTGAGTTCAAATATCAACTTTATGAGCTATCATATGAATAGTGAACTTGAGATTTTGTATTTTGTAATAAATTTTCCTTGTAAAATATTTTAAAGGCCTGATATGAATATAAAATAAATATCTTTGTGAATTTTATAGTCATATGTTTATTCATGAGAATAGGATTTATAGTGCGCCATTTAATACTTACTATTCAAACACCTCTCATGAGGTTCAAGTCTCATCAGCTTCAATCATTGCAAGGAAGATCGAACTTGAAATAAAATATGGGATTTATGATTCTGCCCTATAAGCAGAGCGACCCACTTGAGATCATGCGTATAGTATTAATGCTTTCTTTTTGAATTTGAAAAGAGAGTTTGAATTTTGTGACATATTTGCAAGATGTTAAAATATTACATATTTTGAGCCAAAACAAATTTGAATTCTTTCCATGTTAACCTACGCAACATTCTCATACCTAAGTGATGTGATACAACATGCGGTGAAACATGAATTGCACTTTAGACTCTGGCTGGACTACAGGGCCGGCGGCAAGAGAGAAGTGGGGGAAGGATTCTCGGGTTTGGACACAAGAAGAAACAGTAAAAAAAATTGGAATTTCCTAACCTCGCGCACCTCTTCTTCAAGATCTCAAAGGAGATTGTAGGGATGTCGGAACTCACACAGAGATCCAAGAAACTCTTCTCAAGAACTCACAAAGAGATCTTGAGAATCTCGGAACTCACAAAGAGATCCTTCTGAACTCACTAAAAGATCAACAAGAAAATAAAATTTTCATTATCAATAATTCATCATCACTATTACAAGAGAAGGGCCATATAAATAGGCCTCACAATAACAAAGAAAAATAAAAGACTAAAATGCCCCTCGGGCTACAATAACGACCAAATGCCCATAAGGGTAAAAACGGAAAAACATAAAAAAAAAATAAATAAACTACTACATAAACTGATGAAAATAAAGATCATGATCATGGTCGTCGATCTCCGGCATCTCCTGATGGTACATGTGTCGCAATCTCTGACGATGTCCTCATCACTAAGATTTGGAATTGAATGTATTGGTCGGAGTATATTTGAGTTTAGTGATTTTATTGGTTCATTGTGTCACACATGTCTTTCGATGCTTTTGCAAGGTATACTTCTTACAGTGCATTCGTGCAATGCACTTGTATATTTTATACTTCTCTTGCATGATGCACTTATGTGATACACTTATCTTCTTGCATTATCTTTGATGCAATTGTATAGTATTTTTACACGTTCATCAGTATATTTGCATTATACATTTAGTGAATTCATGGATAAAATTGCTTTTGGTGATTTAACGCATCCTGCGCATTGTCAAAATAATTGTGCAACTTGTGACATGCAATAGTGCATTGTTTTGTCTCATTTAAAAAAATTCAATCATGAGATGCACTATTCGCTCATGGGCTATACGGGCTACTTATGGGACTCACTCCTTGTTTACGAGGTGTGTGCGAGTTTTTTTTAGTAATTAATGTGCATGTCGATTAGGGCACTTGTACACCCATGACAAGCAACATGTTTGAACGTTTTGTCTTGACGTGATAATTGTTCATGGGAATGTACTGTCGTTGAAGCATTATTGTAGTATAGCATTTTAAGTTCATCATTGTTCACATTTTGGTCGCTTGTGTGTATTGCGAATATGGTTGGAAGTGTTATGGGTTAGGATCATTAGTATATTTTTAAAATGGACAATTTATATATATGTATCTTGTATTTTAGTCAGATAGGTCCCACTATGCATCAATTTTCTTGTTATAAATAGGGGGAAGCTCATTCATTTAACTGTTCAAGCACCCATTTGCCTCACAGTTCTTACAATTCTTTGTGATTAGTTGGAGTTAGGGAGATCTATCCTTGTCGACATGCGAGTTTTTCAAGTTTGTTACAAATTCCTTGTGAGTTCATTCAACATTTCATTTGGTGCCACATACTTCTTATATTTTGAATTTTTTATTGTTGTTTTGCAATTTGCACTAGTTCATTTTCTTTATTTATCAATTTTGCATCTTGTACAATCCAAAATGTTCATTTATTTAATTCATTTTAAGTTTTGTGCAAGTCGGGTTATTTAATTTCGACAGTTTCTGGCATCTTCTTTATATAGGGGGCATCTTTGGGAGTGTAAGCCTTCTTCGAGAGTATAAGCCTGCTCACCATACTAAAAAATGCTTATATGGTTGGTGTCATTAGACATTGTGATTGGAGGTCTTTTGTATCACCATGCCCAAAAAGTCGTGCATAGGTATTTTTGTTGTTATGAAGTCTGGAATATTTTTTTTCCACATCAATAAAGACAAACATGAGTACTTAAATTTGAATTCCCTTGCATGCTAAAAAATCATGCATGGAGTTTACCATCCATGTGACGAACGTCGCCTACGATTGTCTATTGCCCAACGATTTTCTATTGCTGCTTTAAGAAATGTATGCACAGGTGTCTTTCAAGTTTCAGTGCATCAAATGAGTTGCAATTAAGATTTTGAGAATTTTAAATGTTTACGAGTGTCTACCTTTGCACGCGAGATGATGAGGTGAACACATCGAGTTTTTTTATGTTCTTTTTTATTTTTGTCTCTTTTAGAGGAAGAAAGAGGAGATAAGAAGATAGAGAGAGGTAGAAAAAATGAAGAGAGAAATATAGTGAATTAGAGAGAAAGAGGGGGAGATTTAGAGAGAGAGAGAAAGAGGAGGGAGGAGAGTGATAGAGAGAAGAGAGGCAGTTAATGGCTAAGTCAAGTTAGCAATAATGATAGACATGCACAGGATTGGGAGCTAGGAGAGGTCAGGCAGCGGCTAGGGCTGTGGCGCAGGCGACAACACTATGGGGTTGAGCGCCGAGTTGCAAAACAGGGAGGGCGAAGGAGTTGGGTGTGGCGCGGTGGAACTGAGGAAGAGGGGGGAGGCGGGTTGGGCTTCAGAGGTTGGCAAGTGGGGAGTGTTAACATTGATAGTTGGGGCAAGGAGCAACTACGACAATGATTAGTGTGACGCTCTAGAATCTAATAGAATGATTGAACTTACTTAACCTTACAGCTAATTAACTCATCCATCAATAACAATCAACCAGAGCTACTAAATTTTCTAATATGAAAGCAGTATAATCAAAAATTTTCCTTTCATCAAGCCATTAAAATATTACCCAATCCATTTTCAACTCTATACATCAAAATAAATAAAATTGGATTACAAAATTAGTACCTTGTATCCAAAATCATGGCTATACACCTAGTCCACTCAAAAGTCTTTTATCTTTTCAAACAATAAAAGGAACAGAATGAGCATATATCGCCCAATAGACTTCTTATCTAACTCACCACATATCTCAATATTCAAATTAAAAACTAAAATTTTCAATAATGTAATAAAATGAAATAAATAGCTCTAAAGTATTAAAATAACAAACAATGACATATTTTCACGGCATACTTAATATTTTAACTTGCAACCTGCTTACACATATTTTCATATACTTCACAGAATACTTAGCCTAAAAAATTCACTTGTATATGACTTTCATATTTCATCAAAGTTTATACCGATGTTTAGAATTACCAACATTCATTTCAGATATTTTCTTTAATGCATTAATACAAATACAATACAATGATTAGCATGCACATGCCTCAATGCCTTTTTATCACTCCACTTTCACTTATAGCTCTCTTTACCTCCCACACTTGCATATAGCTAGTGGGGCCAGAATCTCTCTCATATTTACCTATAGCAGATGGGGCCAGAAGAATACGTACAATGGAGATAACCTCCTGCACTTGTTTTTAATAAACGGGGCCAGAAGAGTATATTTAGGGTTCTTGTCACATAATAGAGAGTACACTTCTTCTACATATCAGAACAACTCTAAT